CAGTTTTTGGAAATTATACATAAAAATGCTGTAAGCATTTATGTATATATATATATATAGACACACATTTTCATCTCATTTGGGAAAATACCTAGGAGTACAATTGCTGGATCAAATGGTAAGCCTATGTCTAGCTTTATAAGAAACTCAGGCAGTAATTTTTACTGTATTTTTCTGTGTGTTGTCTCCTTTTTTTTTTTTTTTAGCTTCTAATTTTTTATTTTTTTTAATGTGATGTTAGTGAAAGTTTACAAGGCAAATTCATTTTCCACACAACAGTTCATATACATTTTATTTCATGACATTGATTGCAATCCCCACAATGCAAAGCTCTCTTTCCACTCACTACCTCCCTGTACTTTTTGCCTGTATCCTTCTTTCCTATGCATCTCTGCCCTCTGAGCTATCTCTCCATGCAATATTCCCCTTCTGATCTCGCTGATTATTCTAAAGAATACAGCTGTCTGGTGTAAATATTCACCTTATAAACTCAAAACTCACTGCCATCAAGTTGATTCCCATTCCCAGTGACCCCCATTGGGTTTCTGAGGCTGTAAATCTTTAAAGAAGTAGATCTCCCCATCTTCCTTCCACAGAGCAGCTGATGGGTTTGAACCACTGACCTTCTAGTTAGCATCCAAATGCCTTATTTACTATGCCACCAGAGCTCCTTATTCACTTTATACTCCTGTCTATTGTTTGGCTGGAAGCCACAGGAGTGAGTTCAATTCCAGGCCCAAAGGGTGAGTATGGGCCATAGTCTCAGGGCTTTCACCAGTTTTCTATCAGATCAGTGAAAAAAAAAAAAAAACCTCACTGCCAGTGAGTCAATTCTGACTCACAGCAACCCCTCCTTGGGTTTCTGAGGTGGTATCTCTATAGTAGTAAATTGCCCAGTCTTCCCTCCAAGGAGTGGCTGGTGGGTTTGAACAGCCAGCCTTCTGGTTAGCAGTCAAATGCCTTAGGCACTACGCCACCAGAGCTAAGCCTGTTTCTTTGTTTTGGTTTGTTTCTTATGATTTTCAGTTTTGTTCCACATTTTTCTTCCACTCTATCCAGGATCTCCTATTTTGACCCCTTTCTGAGTGGTTGACAATGGTAGCTGGGCACCATCTAGTTTTTCTGGTTTCAGGGTCATGTAGGCTGAGGCGCACATGGTCTACCAGTCCCTTGGACTAACTGTTTCCATGTGTCTTTCGTTTTCTTCATTATTCTTTGCTCCAGAGAAGAAGACACCACTTATTGCATCTTAGATGGTTTGCAAGCTTTTAAGACGCCAATTGCTACTCACCAAAATAGGATGCAGAAAAATATTTTTTGTGTAGTATGTTGTGCTAGTTGAGCTTGATGTGCCCTGCGACCGTGGGCCCAATGATTCATTCACTCAGAGTGTTTGGCTATGGCTAAGACGTTATCATCACTTTCTTCCATTAGCTCTATTATATATATGGACAGTCTTACAGCACATAAAATATGTATGTAGAAATACTGTCTGCCAAACTTATATATCGTAATAGGTATATTCCCTTTTGCCCAGGCACACCTGATTATTTAGCCTGTCTACCTATGTATCCACCTACTATTAACGTTTATCATTACTAATCAGGTAAATATTTTAACATACGTTCCCAATATTTTCAAGGTATCTATTCTCTCTTTGGGAGCTCTGGTAGTGTAGTTCCTAAGACACTTGACTGCTAACCAGAAGGCTGGAGGTTCAAACCCACCAGCCACTCCTCGGAAGGAAGGTTGGGCAATCTACTTCTGTAGTGATACCACCTCAGAAATCCAAGGAGGGGTCACTATGAGTTGGATCCAACTTGATAGCACGTTAACAACATTCTCTCTTTATCTTTACCAGCAAAATAGAAATAAAAATAAGACTAGGAGTTAAATAGCAGTGTCTTAAAGGGAAAAAGCATCAGAAAACAAAGGTCAAAACCTTTTTAACATTTGATTTAGTGATTGTTACCATGTTGGATTCTTTTATCCCTTCAAAATGCAGATTTTCTTCTTCCCTCCCATCCCCACTCTCCATAAGTGATTCCATAAGCTGTTTTTCTCAAATGTCCCTAATGATTACCCATGTAGTACTGTGGAATGAATAATCTAGCAATCAGGTAACCGAAATTCTAAGCTCTGTCACTATATAGGAACTCTGGTGCCCTAGTGCCTAAGGCATTTGACTGCTAACCAGAAGGCTGGCAGTTCAAATCCACCAGCCACTCCTCGGAAAGAAGACTGGGCAATCTACTTCCATAGTGATACTGCCTCAGAAACCCAAGGGGGTCATTATGAGTCGGGTCCGACTCGATGGCAGTGAGTTTGGTTTGGTTTTGTTATTAGTATGCTGTCTCCAATTTCCTTGGGCCTGTTTCTTCATTAGACAATTTAGGGAATTAGACTAATAATTGAAGGTTGTCTGTAAGGATTAAAAGTTTTGTGATTCTATAAACCTCCATATATGTTAGTAAATGTTACAAAACCCAAAGACTTCAATTAGAAGAGAAAGGTATCGGAGGTTCAGACACTCCCACCATTATCCAACCCTCTAACTCTGCCCAAGTCACCTCTATACTACTTTGACACCACAGTCTACAAAGACCCTTGTATTTCCAAAGTTGTAGTCACTGCTTGGTCATAGCCAGCTACCCGGAGGGACTGAGTAGTTGAACCTGTGGGCTCAGGACCATAGTCGCAGGGGACACCAAGCTCAATTGGCATAAAATACTACACAAAACATTGTTCCACCTCCTACTGTGGCGAGTAGCAAATGGGATCTTAAAAGCCTGCAAGCTGCCATCTAGATGCAACGATGGGTCCCTCCACGTCCAGAGCAAAGAAGAATGAAGAAAATCAAAAATTCACGGAAACAATTAGTCCTAGCGACTGGTACACCATCCGATCTGCAGCCTATATGACTGAGACCAGAAGAACTAGATGGTGCCCGGCTACTACTGTAAACCTCTTGGAAGAGGATCTATATAGGCGATCCTGGATAGACAGGGAGAACAATGTGGGACAAAACTCAAAATCATTTGGGAAAAAAAAGGAGGGGGACCGACAGAGCCTGGTGGAAGCACTGACACTATGGCCCCTAGATGCCCTTCAGGTCTGGAATTGAACGCACGCCTATAGCTTCCAGCCAAACAGTAGAAAAGGCATATGAGTTGAACATTTACCTGTGGTAGAAACACTCCCTGGAGAGAACAAGCATGGGAGAAAGAAGGGCTGCTTATGCACAGGGAGATAGCTCACGGGGCAGGAGTGCATGAAGGGATTGACACAGGGAAGAGGTAACTATCGGGAGGAAGTAGGAGGGGAGATGTTGCATTGCAGTAAATTGTGGTCAATGTCATGAGACAAAGTGTACGTGAACTGCTGTATGGAAAGTGTATTCGCTCTGTAAATTTTCACCCAAATCACAAGAGAAAAAAAAAAAAAAGACATTTGTATTTCCCGAGTGTGATGCACACTGCAGACAATCTTAGGTGATACGTGGCCCAACTTTACTGTTTTCTAATATAGTGAAATTTATGTGTCACATATCCAACCCATAAATATAACTCCGTTAAGGGCAGCAGCATTTGTTTTGTACAACTGCTCTTTCCTTAGCACCTAAAACCTGGCACAGGACAGACACTTGATAAATATCTTTTTATTGAATGAACAATTTCAAAGATTATGCTTAGGCTTGTTAGCTGTTAAAGTAACCAACTTAAAGAAAAATATTAAGTATATAACAGTAAAAATTGGACTCAAATATGGTGAAACTTGTCAAAGTGGTCCACTAATGACTTATGCTAGAGAATCTTCAAGTAGAAAAGGAAAAGTGGACCTAGACATAAAAGCCTTATGGGAAAGGTCTTTTGATTAAAGCACTTCTTCACAAGCTTATCACCTACATTGCTTTGTCCTTGGCTTTCTTAAAACAAAATGATATAGAGAATTATCCTATTTTGTGGGGAGACAATGACAAAGTGAAGGAAGCAGGTTCAAAGAGGATTTACAACAGGATCTCAATTTCTGTAAGAAAATTAACAATGTTTATCCAGGTGATAGGATTAGGCTGCTTACTTTTATTTCTTTGCTTGGCAGTTTTTAAACTTTTCTATTATAAAAAGTTATTTTTAAGTAAAAAAAAAAAAAAAAGGATCCAAAATTCAAATCTAAAAACTGCCATCCAATCAGTCCCGACTCACAGCAACCCTCCTTGGGTTTCTGAGGTGGTATCACTACAGAAGTAGATTGCCCAACCTTCTTTCCAAGGAGTGGCTGGTGGGTTTTTACAAAGAATCTCTAACTGATGAACATTTAGGTTCCTGTTAATTTTGGAGTACTTCAAATGCATATATGTACATATATAGATAGATAGATATAAGATAGTAACAACATATATGTACCATGTATATTTTTCCAGAAATGGCACAGGACCAGGGACAGCATTTCATTCTCTTGTATACAGGCTCATCATGAGTTGGGACCAACTTGATAACAGCTGACAACAATAATAATA